TATTTTATTAATGGCAATGGACCAGCTCAAAGTCCATCAGTTCTCAATGGACCAGTCAATTTGCCAACCCTGCAATATTGTATATTTGACGAATTGGAGGTTTTTCAATTAATTGATAAATTATAAATATTTTTAGAAATAGATAATAAACTTATTTTTATAATATCTTTGCAAATTTTCTTTCTAAAAATTTTAAAAAATTGATTTTATTATCTTCAGAATATAATAAAAAATCTCATTCATTCATCTATTCTAAACAAAATATATTACATCCTTGAAAAAGCAAAGATTAGTGACAATAAAATGATTTAAATCATATAATTATATTTGATTTTTTATTTGCTTTGAAAAACCAAATTAATAGTTGGAATCATTCTACAAATATGCAATTAATTACATCAGGATATTTTTAGTGTCAAATAGCGTTGAAAAACATTCCTGTTTTTTAACACCAAAAAAATGTTAATCAACAGACCCTGTGCAAACAAACTGTATTGAAAAATCCACGTTGTATAATGCAATAATATATTTACAGTATGACAATCTATTAACACGAAAAGTGATTTATTAAATACATGTATTATTAAGGTATTTATTACATTATTTTTTTAACCACTATATAAATAAATGATTATATATTATGCCTCCTGCTGTTTTGCAATAGTGCAAACATGGTCCATTTCTATTGTCCACGCCATAAAATTGTTGAATTTATCAAGCGTTTTTAATATTAATAACGAGATCCCCTGATGGATGACGAGTAACTTTGATTATTAAGAAATTTATATGGTAACTTTATGATTATAATTTGAAGCTATTGATTATTTTTGGTAGGCTTGCAGTTAAAATACACATTATACATAATTTTGGAAGATGTACGACTATTTAAAGCTTTCTTGTTAAATTTTTTTTTCAATAATGCGTGTCACAAAAAAATAAAATCAAGTTATAAAATAATAACCTTCATTGATTTTTTTATTTACATACTTGTAACAATATTGATATATTATCAATATTATTTGCATTATATATATTAGCATCAATAACTATTAATCAAGTTAAAGGACCAACATGAACAGTTTGAGATTTTAATTTTTTTAATAATTTTTCTTTTTTGCCTTTTTCTTTCTGGAACTTTTCCCAATTTTTTTCCGCACCCTCGATAATTTGCGTCATGAGATTCGAGGCAGATCCCTTCTCCAAATGACACAATCTATCATCAGTCAACAGTGGATTTCGTTTCTTGATCCAATTCAATTGTTGTTTAGTGATGGGCTGATTACGCCATCTGGTAAAACGTGATGCAAGGATAAACGATAACTTGTTACCAAACTTAAATTTTACCCAACTATCACACGCCTTTATTGCTGTGTCAAGCCTGTCACCTATGATTGGAAGTGGCTGCACTGATCGAATTGGTATTACGTCATCTGATTTTGCCTTTGTCTTGTATTTTACACTCCTATATTTTGCTTTAAACCTTCCTATATATCAAAAAAGAGTAAATGTGCATGCATTATTAGCTAATAATGTCATTAATATTATCACTAGTCAACTGGTTTAATTAATGCCAATCCAAACTAACCATCAGTGTCTCTATCTAATTTTATACTGCCTTTAATACTCAATGATAAAACATAACTTTCATAGCCAACTCTAACCCACGCATTATCAGATATGACCTTGATGTGTGAAGCACTCGAACAATCATCTATCAACTCATTGACACTCAAGTATTCTTCAACATTTATATTAGAAATTTCTTTGATTTGTGATGTCAATCGATCGATTCTTTCTTTGTCAATCACGTCATTTGGCGATAATGTGTTCATATATATTCCATTTGATGTTGGTATAATAGGTATTAATTCAGCATTTTGATCATCATTCCTTTCTCCTCCTACAAGTACTATAATTTTAAGATATGATTATGTGATGTGTTAGTACACACACACACACACACACACACATAAATATGTACATGCATTAGATTGAATTGATTAGTATGACGATTATAATCACCATTTGAGGTGGTTAAACCCAATAAAGTTGGAGACGTGACTAAATCGGGAATATGTTTTGTAGATGAGTCAATAAAGTCCAATATTAAACAATCTTTTTTTCCTTCGTGTAGACGCATTCCACGACCTATCATTTGTTGAAAAAGTACAGGTGATTTTGTTGGTCTACCCATAATAATACAATCAATATTTGGTATATCTGTTCCTTCTGTCAATATACCTAAAAATCATTAATCCATTAGTTTATTTATTTATTAAAAATGCTTTTTTAAAAATTAAGAAAATAAAAAAAGAATTTACCACAATTGACTAAAACAGAAAATTTTTTTTCTCTAAATTTTTTTATAACTTCAGCTCTTATAGGTGCTGTGGTTTTAGATGTAATCGAATAAGCTTCAATCTGTGCATCCAAAAATGCTTGTCTTAATTTTTCAACATGTTCTATATCAACAGCAAACACTAATGTTGAATGCCTGTCTTCTATAATGATGATGATAATAATGATGTATATGAATATATATTTTATAATTATATTAAATAATATAAATATAAATAACTTACGTGCATACTCGAGGTATGATCGAACAATAACATCATTACGTGTTTTGACATTTAAACATTTTGAAAGATCGGATAGCATAAAGTCATCATTATTTGCTCGAATTTTCGATATGTCAATATTTGTTTTTATAACTTTAGTTTTAAGATCACATAACCTTTCAAATAAAATATAAATATAAGTTATTTGTTAATCGTGCATATAAATGTTGTGTGCATAAATATCATTCACACAGAAACCAATGTAAATAAATAACATTACCACTTTTCTTTGATCATTTCTACGAAATCTTTGTGATAAGTGATTTGATCAAATACAGTAGCAAGCGAGATACCATCATATCTTCTTACTGTAGCAGAACAACCCCATAAAAGTATATGTGAATCCTTGTCATTTGTACCAAAATGTTGTAAAATTCTACTATAACTAGGCGCGACAGCATGATGCGCCTAATTTGATGAGGATAATAATAATAATAGTATCATGGATTATTATTGATATTATCATTATGATTGTGATATTATATGAAAAACAACCTCTGGAAAGTTTAAATAATTACTTCGTCAATGATGATAGCTTTAAAATCATTTTTATGATACCTTTCTAAACGCAAAGTATCTTCCCTTCCTAATGTTTGAACACTACCAACAATAACATCTGCATCAAAAGCTGCTTCATTTTCACCTTTGTCTACATCAACTATCTAACACATAATTAGTTAATTAGTTAGTTAGTTAGTTAGTTAGTTAGTTAGTTAGTTAAGTGAATAAATAGATGAGTGCGAATAAATATTAAGAATAATTGACTAAACTATACCAAATCAGGTGAAACTTTACTGATTTGAGAACGTGCTTGATCAATCAATTCTTCTCTGTGAGCGATTACCAAAACTTTTTTTGCTTCTTTAAAAGGTGGTTCGATTCTTTTGATTAGATTAGAAAAGATTACCTTTTTGGAACAGGGGTTTTTTAGTAAGATTGATTTAATGAAAAATTAATTCTTATTATTCTTGTAGTGATAAATACCGTTTTACCACTTCCTAATAATTCAGAAGCAAATAAAATTCATAATTAGTGAATCAATAATAAATTATAGTAAAAAACGAAACAATGGATGATTGGATTACCTACTGGCAAAGACACAACTTGTCTTCTAATTTTTCCATTTTTAAATTTCTCCAAGCATACTTCAATACATTCTTCTTGATACGGTCGTAATTTTAATGTGAAATGCCGTTTGTCTAATTCTTTTATCAACCTTGAAGTAAATCGTGTTGTTGATGTTGATTTTTGAGTTGATTTTTTGTAGATGCAATTTTTTGTTAGTTTATTGAATAATAACATTCTATATTAATTTATTTAATTATAATTATAATTAGAATTTATACTACAAACCAGACTAAAAAATTTGAACCCTGAAATTTTTGACTTTAGACTCCCAATAAAAATTGCATATTAATATATTTTTCAAAATTAAGAATGGTGGATACTGAGGATGTATGGGTTTCGGACGAAGAGGATATAATTTTTGAAAAAAAAGTATCATCAAAAGAATGGGAAAGATTAAATGAAAATTTTGGAAATGTATGTAATAATCATAATCATATCATTATTAAGTTTCTTTAGTTATATGTCTTTATGTATCTTAGGTTGGGTATAAAGAAGGAATTGTCGAAGGTAAAGATATGACAATACAAGAAGGCTTTGATAAAGGATATTCCGAAGGCTTTAATGTTGGTAAAGAATTGGGAAGGTTAAGAGGTTTATTAAAGTATGAGTCTTTTATTTTCTGGTATAGAAGATTAATAATGTTATTAATGCTAACCACCTTTATCATATTACTTGCTGATTTAAAAAAGTACATTAATCGTGATACAAAATAAAAAGAAGATTACTGAAAATAATCCATTATTGGAAGAATTGAAGAATCTAGAGAAAGAATTAGCAAATTTAACATTTGATAAAATATTCACTAAAGAATATTTTGAATCTAATATAGAAGAGGATAACCAGCAGCAGCAGCAGCAGCAGCAGCAGCAACAAAGTAACAAATCAATTATTATAAATAAGATTTTAAAAGATTATCAAGAGAAAGTTAACCAATTATTAATAAAATTTGGAATTAATTAAAGATTTTTTTTTGATAATGTTGCCGTTTTTTATTTATTTGGCAAACAATGAACTAAAAACATTATTATTATCTAACAAGTGCAGCAAATAAGCAAGGTGCAATTGATCTTGATGTTTTATGTGTTTTATCTACTAAAGTTCGAAGAGAACCCCCCCCCCCCCTTAAATTTAAACTCCTGGCACTTAAATTTCTTTAAATTTATGTAAAGGCTTACTTTGAACAAATTAATAGGTTGTTGTAGATTTTTAGTAGATTATGAAAAGGCAAGTTTAATACCGTTTAATTCGATTATTATTAAAAAAGATTTTCAAAAGGCAGCAAAATATCACGTTACAGTCCACACTGTCTATAACGGATCATTGGGACCAGGAAATTTGTCCGTTATAGTTATAGAGAGAGTCCAGTATAGAAAATTGTACTACTACTATTATTATTATTCAATATTTAAAAAACAGTAATATAGATTGTTTTGTTGAATTGAGTTCTATTTTTTAACTGTTTCAATTCCTCATTTGTAAATTCCTTAAACCGTTGTTCAAACAAACAAGTTTACTTTTTCAATAGCCAATAAAGAATCTTGACTTAAATAGGAGATGTCTTCTTCTTCATTCAGCAAATCATCATCATCAACATTTTTTTCATTTCATCAATACTTTTAGTTCATTACATCATACCTTCTTATATATAGATAACATTTTTTTTTTTTTTTTTTTTGCGATTATTATCTCTTAAACCATATAAGTCACAAATTTGCGACTTATTATTATGATAAGACTTTTGGCATGTGAATACGGTTTATGGGATAATTTAGATTTAGAGAGATCTGCATTTTATTTCAGATCACGTGAATCAGTTATAGGGTGTTGATTTATATGTAAGTCATATGAAGTGATTTTCAGATATATTAATATGCAATCCGTTATACGTAATAAAAAGTTTAATTAATAATATCCATTATAGAAAGAGATTTCAAATAGTAAAAAAATCGGGACCAAACTTTTAATCCGTTATAGAGAAAAATCCGTTATAGAAAGATCCGTTATAGACAGTGTAGACTGTAACTCGTTCGCCACACATATAAATTGATCGACAAAGGAGTTCCAATTTTAGATTAGATTTCCAAATTTGGTAATAATCCTGACTGTAAATATTTCCGTGCGCATGGAAATTTGGTATTAGTATTAGTATAACGTGATACGTCTCGATTGAATTCTGTTAGTATTGATTGTTTGTTGATTGCTTACAAAAAATATGACGATGGTTTTCTCTATTAAACTCTTATGTAAACATGGTTTGATATTTTCACAATTGTAGGCAGTCCCCATATGCAAAATTAAAACTTATGAGCAAACCTGGGAGATCGCATGTGTTATTAAGAATAATAAAAATTTTGTTCGGCATTAATGATCGCTGTGCACATTCTAGCAGCAAAACTAAAATTTTAAAAATCCTTTGATAATTTATCTTGAAAGATCAATTATTCTCAACAAATTCATTCATTGCCCTCTATAATGATGAAATGGTTTCCTGTTTCGCATGTTCACAATAACGACTGCATTGTAACTTTGTTCACAAACGGATTCACAAACGGATTCACATTATTATTATTGTCGTTATTATATAATTAAATATTTAATCATTTAATTAATACAATAATATAACACGTTTTACCCAAAAACAAAGATACTCTGTTTAATTAACATGAACGGATTCCATGTTATACTATATACTTTACCCCACAAACATTTAATATTCAATTACAATAAAATATTTATTAAGAAAAAAAAATGGATTCCTTAAAAATATAAAATAATATAATATATAAAGATATAAAATAATATATAAAGATATAAAATAATATAATATATAAAGATATAAAATAATATATAAAGATATAAAATAATATATATATAGTCAAGTAAATGTAAAATATAAAAAAAAAAAACTAGATAATATATGAAAAAAACTTTGTAAAACTCATTGTAATAATAAGTTGCACAATAAAAAGAACAATAATTGTAATTATTAATAATATTATATAATAGTAGTAATTATGATTATTATCAGTGTGTAAAAAAAAACTGTACTCTTGCAATTCTATTTTGTCCTCTACTATAAAAAACCAATAAAATCAAATATTACTAATACTAATATTAATATATATTACCCTTTAAAGACTCTCCACCACTGTTGCTATTATTAAAATAGTTAATTAACCACTGCTAGCATATTCTAACAGTATAAAGGATTTTCTGAAGATTTATTAATAGGTGGAAGGGTCATATTTGAAATATAAGAAGTTTTACCAATACCAGCATTGGCAGGAGGAGATGGTAAGCCATATTGAATATGAGAA